AACAGATGATAGTACCTAGCTCTTGTATTGCACTTTTCATCAGTAGATCTCAAAGCATATTACAACAGATGCTTCCTTCTTTAGCTGATTTACTTGGATAAATAGCATGAAATGATGAGAAAATAGTATAACCACTAAAATACCTAATATTTTTATCTGCCAGGACCTAATGGACGAGTTAGGGCACTGAAGACTCTCTGGCAGCGTTAAAGCGCTGCCACAGCAGCACTCTAACTTGGCTTGTGTAGTCGCGCTCTAAAAAAACCACCCCCACGAGGGGAATAGCGTGGCTCCCGGTGCTGGTGCACTGTCTACACCGGCACGTTACAGCACTGAAACTTGCAGCGCTCGGGGGGTGTTTTTTCACACCCCTGAGTGAGAAAGTTGCAGCACTGTAAAGTGCCAGTGTAGACAAGCCCTTAGTCTGAAACTTTTTCAGAAGCTTGAAGATTTGCACTTGTGTACCTTGCTGCACTGTGCATTCTAATAAGCATAATAGAGAATTTAGCACTCAGCAGGCCATATCCTTAGCTCAAATTGGCATAGCTTCATTGAGGTTATACACTTTTTCAACAACAATACTAATATTTACCACTTCACAGTGTAATTCAAATGCTAATTTATTCCCTTACCATTTAATCCTTTCTGTCCCAACACATGACCACTTCTCCATGCCGTCATCATCTCTTGCCTTGTTTACTGTAATTCCCTTTCTTTCTTCCTTTCTTGTTTATACTAGGGAATTTTTACAGAAAATTCATATTGTTTGCGCCAATATTAACAATAAAAGGAGGGCTAATATAGTTCTAATATAGGGCCGTTGGCAGTCCTTTCCAGCACCATGTTTTTTGGCGGGTTTAGTTGACACAGAGCTGACATGTTGCCAATACCAGCCACATACTCCAGGACTCCCAACATTGCCAAAAAGATGCAACTGAATTGGTGTTAATTGTGGTGAGAATTGATTGTAAATGGTCCTTAGTGTAGACCAGGCACAGAATGTAATAAAGATGAGACAGAGGAGACCTGGTAAGATTCACCCTCCCCCTGGTTTCTCACTTGGTTACAGTAGATTATACCCCGTCACATAGCAGGGCCTGTATCCATTGACTCTGTTGGTTACTGCTACAGTTTTCCTCCATCTTATTTTTATTTGAATGTCTAATGCAGGGGTCGGCAACCTTCAGTATGTGACCCATCAGGGTAATCCATTGACGGGCCGTGAGACATTTTGTTTACGTTGACCATCCACAGCTCCCAGTGGCCGCGGTTCACTATTCCCGGCCAATGGCTTCCCGCAGCTCCCATTGGCCAGGAATGGCGAACTGCAGCCACTGGGAGCTGCAGGGGGCTGTGCCTGCGGACGGTCAACATAAAAATGTCTTGTGGCCCGCCAGTGGATTACCCTGAGGGGTCGCATGCCAAAGGTTGCCGACCTCTGGTCTAATGCAAATAAAAAACCCACACAAGCTAACAGACACATCTTGGTTGGAGGTCAGGGAAAGCAACCTGAACTCCCTGAGAGATGACTGGAGTATTCTGCCCCACATAGGACATTTATTTGTCTATAATTACAGTTTCTGAGTCTCAGTTGTCTTCTAAACACACACTTCTCCTTCCCTATACAGTTCCTTCTGTTGTGGCCTGTTTTGCTGCTCAGGTCGGTTCACTATGTGGAGCCTATTTTTCTTGCTCCATGTTTTTCTTTACAGTATCAGGATATTTGTAATTTCTGTCTGTGCACAAGCACTGTTAGTAGCATTCTGGAAGTCCTCAAGAAACAGCCAGTGTCTTCCTTTAGATTCTTTAGATGTCTTCTGAACCGTCGCAGGAATATTGTACAGAGATGATTACGATAGGTGGTTTAGCTGTTACCTTGACAAGTTGCCACCCACTTTCTGATGGAATTGTTACTCTCTTCCACTTGCAATAGTGGTAACTGCTTGATGTCTTGTAGTACAGCGGACCCTCGCTAGAACGCGCGTCTATATAGCGCGAATCCGCTTATAGCGCGGGACCGTGCATGAATCCCAAATGTAATTACCTTAATTGGAATCCATGGTGATGCGTTCCCTGGTATAACGCAGTCCCTGCGTTAATGAAGGACCACGGATGGATCCAAAACCCCACGTTCTAGCGAGGGTCCGGTGTAATCTATCTTCCTTGCTAGGCTCGTCACATACAATCCAGTAGAGAGCACCTCAGGGTAATTGTTTGGCTTGATAAGCTTGTTGGAACGAAGGGTTTTTTGTCCTTCTATTCTTAAATATCTGAACTCGGGAGACTAATGAACCATTATGAAGGTGTGTTGCAGTGTTCTAAGAATTCCAAGTATGGACTCGTGGGTTTTTAAAAACCAAGTTATTTGTGGTGATTCTTTTGGTATCCCATTTTACTGTGTATAGTAAGAATTTGACATGGTGCACTTCAACTAATCCTATGAAAGAATTGTCTAAATGAGTTGCTATTCTTGACGTTGTTGCTCAATTTTCTTGTGCAGTAGCTCAATATTAAAATATCTATCCAGGTTATTATATTGGCACTCCTCATAGTAATATCTGAGCACCTTCCGAGAATAAAGCTGAAACCTAGCTCAGATACTGTGCATCATACTGGTGAAGAGAAGCAAGAAAAGGGAATGATCACTTAAACTAAATAAAATAAACCCACCCCTTTAACTCTGGCAGTCTGTACTGAGGAAGTTTGCCCTCTGGAAGAAAAGTGAAATCTTCAATTAATATTTTGTTTTCTTTTGTGAAGCCTAACAGAGAATCTGAAAGTGCTGTAATTCTGCAGATTATTTGTAAACCAAATGTGAGTTTGAGTAAATGTGAATTACAGAAAATAACGAGAACTAGTTGTATTGAAAATGTTTTCTTTATCCTATGCATTGATGCGTGGTAGGGGTATTATGTAAATAGTTTCTTTTCCAAGGGATTTAAAGGACACCATCAGCTTCACAAAACAATACCTTTAGTTTGAAAATTTCATTAATTAATGTTACAAGTAATCCCCATACCTGAAGCAGGGGGGATGGATGTTGTCCGGGCTTGCTGGAAGAAGGTAGCAGTGCTTTATGGCAGGGGAGGGGTGGGAAGGAGGTCAGAAACTGCTGCAAAAAGATGGGGGGTGGTCAGGTTGGCGGCACTGACTCCCCCTGGGAACGTAAAGGTGGAAGCCTTTAAAAGGTGCACACCCTGGCATTGGAATCCCTTTCTCCAAGCAGCAGGCAAGGCACCATCCACCCTCCCTCCCCTGAAGGTGCGACTATCAGGTTGGGTTAGGTCTTGCTGTGGGCATTGCACTAGTTGTTTCTTTTTGGGGGGGGACTGGGAAGGAATTTTCCCCTCACCTCATATTGGCTTTGATGGAGTGGAGTTTTTTCTCCTTTCCCACAGCGGGTGTCAGGGAGGACCTATTATGGTGAGGAGGAAAAGTGGTTAGACTATCTGTCGCAATTTATTTTGTAAGTGTGGGGTGGATATCCAGTATAGGTACTCCATAGGGAAGGCATCCAATGACCAGATAAATGGTTAAAGGATCTGCTGGTTAAAGGAAAGGAACGGAACGGAATGGGAGGGACGGGGAGAAGGCTGTTTGGGCCTCCTATGATTGGTATGGCAGGGAGCCAACCCCCTTTTTCTTATAGCCCACCTTAACTCTCCTACGAGGGAGAGTGGACGGTAAGGTCCAAGCCATGGGGGACCTGGATGGAAAATGAACAGGAGCTGGTGGAAGCTCCAGGTAGTTATTTGAATGAACATGGAGTTGCTTGCACTGTACACTTTTATCAGCCAGGTAGTTCCAGACATCTTCTAATAAAGTTGCGGCCTGATTAAATTCATATCAAGTGTCTTCTGCCCTTCTTTCAGTATAGCTGGACAGCAACTAATTTGACTGAAATTGAACTAGTGGTTGAGGGGAAAATCTTTTTTTTAATTATGGTGTGCATTTGACTGTGCTCTATGTAAAATCAGTTTGACCTTTTTTTTTTTTTTTTATAGTGACTTGAGCTTCCTTTCTCATGTGCAAGTATAATGACCACACTCTCATACGGGGCAGGGAGAAACATAGCAGCTGATTATCCTGTCTCTGCGTGGGGATCTCAGGCAAAGGAGACATTCTTTCGGCCTCAGACTCGGAAACAACAGCCTTCGTAGTCCCGACTCTGCGTGGGACTGGAACCCAATGGGTTCTTGGAACACAAGAGATCCCCTTTCATTCCCTTGAGCTCCCTTTGTGGGGCTAAGAAATGACTGAAACATGGGAGTTGGAAGAGACCAGTTTTTCCTTCCATAGATCACTTGACAGGGAGGCCCTTTCTCTACATTGCTGCTGCTGGAGAGGCTGGCAGGCAGGAGTTTCCACAGGGCGGGAGAGGAGAAGGGATAGGCTCAAATACACTTGAAATGGTTGCTCTTGAATTTATTAATTCTCCCTTGCTAAAAATCAGCAGGGAGACGGAAAAAAAAATCTGTTCTGAGGATTTTAAAATATATATACATATAATATAAAAAGTTAGAATGTACTATTTAAACAGTGCTCTAGCAGAAACTTGAATTTTTTAAAATAGTTAATGTTGGTATTTTCCCTTTTGACAGTATCATAATTCTGATTTACAATAATTACAGCTTTTAGTTGCCATGTTTCTCTCTGTGTCCGTATGTGCATATTTAGGGTGGGATTTTCAAAAACACTCAGTGCTTGCTTAACTCTACCCCATTGAATTCAATGGTAGAACTCCCATTGATTTCAATGGAAGAAGAGTTAGGCATATGCTGAGAGCTTTTGAAACTTCTACCTGGGGCAGTGGTGGGAAGGGTTTTTTTGTGTTGTTTTTTAAATAGTGGTATGGTGCTACACACAGTATAAGAATCAAAATGATTTTTTTAAAACAAAATATTACAAGAAACAGCAAAGAAAATTGCAAATGAACTTACATTTAGAATTGAAAGAAAATGGTGAACTAATGTTTTATATTTTATTTACTGTTGTACTAGGTTCAGGATGTTGTCCCTATCACCAGCTATGATACTGCTGGATCTTTCCTACTGCTGGGCTGTAACAATGGCTCTATATATTACATTGGTGAGAACAAAAACAGCAAAATTAATATTGTAATGTTCAATTTTGTAAAATAATTATTCCTAACAGGAATATTATCTCTTGTTCATAAGTGTAATCATTATTATGAACTGACTTTACATTTCTGCTGTTTTTTATTTGGATATCACTTATTTTTTTATGCAGATATGCAGAAGTTTCCCTTGCGAATGAAGGATAATGATCTTCTGGTGACAGAACTTTATCATGATCCCTCCAATGATGCCATTACAGCACTCAGTGTCTACCTCACACCCAAGACAAGTTTGTATCATGCATCATTTACATTCCCTTGAAACTCATTGCACATAGAGCTTTCACTTTCATATTTTAAAAGTATTTTAGATGTCTAACAGCAGTAGCACTGATAAGGCTACTTAAGGATTGTATGCTATATTCCATTATAAAACAGTTATCCATGTTTAATCGTCATTTTAATTTTCATTAGTCTTAAAATTGGTGTACAGACTGTCAACCTGGACATGAATTTAATTAAAAAAATATTTTAGAAAGGATATACTATGGTTTGGAATGACAGATAGTATTGGTTTGGATTAAGTTGCATTCCCAGACCTCTTTAGGAAGATATTCACAGCACCTTATTCTACACTTTAAGTCCTTCACTTTCAAAAGCACCAACACTCTTATCAGTTTGGTCCTTATGCTATGTGGACAAGGTGCCACAGTCTTGCGTGTCCTGTTCCAGTTTGGTCAGACTGTGCCAAAGTTGCTTGCCAGGAGTCTCTGCACCCAAGCATTAAAGGGCATTAAGAGACCATAACATGAGTTCAGATCAAAGTTCCCACTATTAATCTTGACAGTTTGGGGTTGCTCTTCTGATCTTGTGTGTTTTGAACAGATGGAGTGATCCCCAGCCTTAAGGAAGAAAAAAAAAAAAGTATAACAGAATATTGTAGACATGATGGTGTTTTACTGAAAAAATAATGCTACATCATTGATAAACTTCATTCAAGTTACTGGCTCATACTTCACTCTTTCATGAACTGTCATAACCATTTGGAGATAAAGCAAAAACCACAAAACAAACTCTGATATATGAAAGTTATTACTTTTAAATGTGGGATGCAGATATTTTTTCAGATGAAGATCTAGGCATTTCATCAACTTTTTTTTGTTTATCTTTCCCATACCTGTATTGTTAATACAACATTTTTTCTTCCTTAATATAATTGTCTTCCCCCCACAAGGAGAAGTAAATCTTCCAATACAGGTGCTAGTCTCCATGTTTCTAAATTCTAAAAAGCACTGAAATGCCTCTTTGGGGCCACAGGCAAGGAACCGGCGTATAGTATGTGTTTTGGGATTTGCTTGGTCTCTTCCCTCATATGCTTTTTTTGTTTTGTTTTGGGGAATGGCAGGATGCACTGGGGCATACTGCGCAACAGTAGATAGCAAATACTTGCAGAGTAGGTAAAATTAATTTAACCCTTTTTAGGACGTTATTTACACTTGCTAATGAACTTAAATATTTGTGCTAAAATAAGTAGCTATTCAATGTTACAGATCTGCAGATGTAACTTTTCCCCCCCTTTGAGGAATGGTGGTTGGTTTAAAACATCTCAATGTTTGTGCCTTTCGTAGGTGTAAGTGGTAATTGGATTGAGATTGCGTATGGCACCAGCTCCGGAGCAGTAAGAGTGATTGTACAGCACCCTGAAACAGTTGGGTCAGGCCCTCAACTTTTTCAGACCTTTACAGTTCATCGAAGTCCTGTTACAAAGATCATGCTGTCTGAGAAACACCTTGTGTCAGGTAATCTTATTTGTATGTACAGATGCACGTGTGTGTCACTCATTCTCCCTTTTCTATTTCTTCTAATGTTCATGCTCCTTGTCTCTCCTTTTCTTCAAATCCCATCATTTGGAATTACTAAACATAGTAGATTGCGTATAGAACAGCATATTAAGAAAAAAAAACTTCTAAAAAATTAATGGCATTGCAAACTTACTTAAGGAGATTTCCGTTAATTATACTATTGTTACACTACATCTCCTTTTAGCATCTGCGTACAACAAGAATTGGGTTAAAATTATCTATATCAGGGGTTCTCAAACTGGGGGTTGGGACCCCTCGGGGTCGTGAGGTTATTACATGGGGGCTCGCGAGCTGTCAACCCTCCCCGCCCTCCAAATCCCGCTTTGCCTCCAGCATTTATAATGGTGTTAAATATATAAAAAAGTGTTTTTAATTTATAAGGGGGGTTGCACTCAGAGGCTTGCTATGTGAAAGGGGTCACCAGTACAAAAGTTTGAGAGCCACTGATCTATATGCTTGTCCTAATCTTGGTCTTTATAAGACATTTAATATTTGTACAATATATTGTATTCCATTTGCAGCAATTCATGATAAGCTTGTTCCAGAAAAAAAATAAAATGTCTAATAAAAGATACTAATTTCTGAAACCAGCAATAAAATATGGGTTAAATTAACCTAATTCTCTGCATATACCAGTCTATTATCAGAACCAACAGTTGTGCATATAGCTGTAAATTTCCAGTTAAGTAAATTGGGTGGAGGTATCTTGCACATGGACAGAGAATCATAAAATAGAATATGATTCTTGTGTGTTTAAATGAATTCCTGTGTGTGTGTGTGTGTGTGTGTGTGTGTGTGTGTGTGTGTGTGTGTGTGTGTGTAAATCCTTGCTGTAAAGGCAATAAATGTCTTTATTTGAATATGCTCACATTCAGATAAACTCAAATTTAATTGAATATGTGACTGAAATAAATATGTTTTCATTTGTTTTAATGGTCAGTGCATGCAAGGCTACAATGGCGTGTAGAGTACAGACACTTCACACCCAGCTAGCACAGGTATAAAGAGCAGTGTAGATGGTGAGACATGGCTTAGGCAAATAGAACAGAGTGCCTTATATGCTGGAACCCCCAGGGTATATACAGGTCTGTTGCATCTTATGCGCATTTAACATGCGCAATTTCAGCTTTACGCGGTCGGCAAAAACAAAAAAAAGAGAAAAATAACAATTTTAATACTGTACCTGTAGTGCGGGCGATTCCACCCGCCATTCAACTCAATGTAATTTTGACTATACGCGTTTTTTGCTTTACGCGCTAACGGAACGGAACCCCCGCGTAAGTTGAGACTCGCCTGTACACTGCACAGATCTCGACATGTCTAAGCAGTGCCCCCTACGTCTACATTGCTGTTTTTAGCAGTGTAATGTATGCTGCTGGAGCTTTTCTCTGTTGCAGTGAAAGGCTCTGGCAGTGCAGAGGCAGCGGGGAAAGGGGTCTTTCCTCGCTGCCTCCCCCTGCCAGAGCCTTTCTTTGCCACAGTGAAAGGCTCCAGCAACAGGGAGCTGCCAGAGCCTTTCCCCTCCACTGGAGCCTTTCACTGTGGCGTGTAGCTACAGATGGAGTGTTTGTACTCTGCACACTGCGGTAAGTGTAGATTTAGCCCAAGATGCTTGTTCTTGAATAGTCATTTTGAAACACACTAACTTCATGTGTTAAAATAATTTGTAGTACGTAGGTTTAATTGGATTTTAAAGCCAGAAGGGACCAGGGCCGCCCGGGGGGGGGGGCAAGTGGGGCAATTTGCCCCAGGCCCCACAGGGGCCCCCACGAAAATATAGTATTCTATAGTATTACAACAGTTTTTTATGTAAGGCGTCCCCGAAATTGCTTTGCCCCAGACCCCCTGAATCCTCTGGATGGTCCTGGACTGCAACAAGAGTAAGATGTACACCTTCACATGTTAAGTAAACCTTACAACAGCACTGCAGGGTAGTAAACAGATGATGTTATTCCTACTTTATAGATGGGAAAACCAAGGTAGAAAAGCTCCGTGACTTTTATAACACACTGCCAAAACTATGTTAGAAGTCAGGAGTTGTACAGTACATGCAGTATGCACAGGACCCACTTTTCAAATGTTTGTAACGTTTACAGTCCAAATTTATTCAGAATGTATTGCTACTTTTAAGGCTTTCATAAGCATTTTGATTCAGAAAACAAAATAAGTAATTTAACTGTTGATGACCACAGTTTCCTCTCATTTTGTTATCGCAATTTGATTGAATGCATTTTATTGAACTTGCTCAGAAGTTAATGTTTTTTTTAATTACTGAGGGTATGTCTACACAGCAAAGAGAAACCCTTGCAGGGTCCTAGAGCCCAGGCTCCAGCCTGAACCTGGAAGTCTGCATAGCAATGAAACAGCCCAAGCCTGAGTCGGCTAGCACAGGCCAGCCGCGGATGTCTAGTTGCTGTGTAGAGATCCTCTGAGACCCTGGATAATTTTAATTACATCCTAAATGTTATGGCTTATAAATGAAAAGGTGTTTTAAAAACAGTCTTTCATCTCTTGTAAATATTCCAATGTTTCTGTTTTGGTTTTTTTCTTTTCTGTCTAGTTTGTGCCGACAACAACCACGTTCGGACATGGACAGTGACTCGATTCAGAGGAATGATTTCCACACAGCCAGGGTCTACTCCCTTAGCTTCATTCAAAATCTTGTCCTTGGAGGAAACAGAGAGCCATGGTAGTTACTCTTCTGGAAATGACATAGGTAGGAAAAATGTTTTTCCATTACTTCGTACTGGACTTTTGGAGGGCTACTGTGCTCTTGAAGGTTCATTGGAGGCATTTAGCCTGATTTCTGCTCTCGCTTCACATTCATGTGACTCCATTGACATCAGGTGTGTGAGTCTGATTTACACCAGAGTAATTACAGCATAATCAGCTTGCATTTTGATAATACTGTAGCATGTCTATAATATTCCTGTTTGAAAACTGATTCCAGCTAGAGTTAATTTGATTTGTCTTTCCATAGACTCACTTTACAGTACTGGGCAAAGTGGTTTTTTCCCAGAGGGACCCATTTAAGAGAAGTTGTGCCTTGTGATTCCTATAAATTACCTAGAAATCTGTTGGTTACCTAATGTACCCTTTTTGATAGCGAGAGATAACAAGATTGAGATTATGAAAGAATACATTAGAACTGATTTGCATGAGATTTTTGGGTTTGTTTCACAATGTGCTATCACATTTTGTAAATTAAACAAAAATTAAGATTATGCACGTGAGTCTAATATTTAATATTATACTCCTATTACATTTCAAAACTACATTGAAACTGTTACAAAACCAACAGAATTGTGAAAACCCTATGTGAAGACTAATAATGTGGCATGATGCTCTTTACAGAACACTGAATGGGTAGGCAAGTAGCAAGACTGAAAAGCCATCCTCATTTGTGTGTGTTTGTTTTTTTATTCATCAAAAGTTCTTGTTATAATCCTAAACTGTGCTCTCTGAGGCAAGGACTGTCTTTTATTTATACAGCACCTAGCACACTAGAACACTGATCCTTGATTGAGGCTTCCCAGATACTCTTGTAATACATATACTGATCAACAACAATTTGCTCTTAACTTTTTATGGTGTTGGTATTGTAGGGTCTTGGACTAGTGCAAAATGTTACACATGGAGATGCCATCCACTTTCAAGAGCAAGGTTCCCTTGGTTGTTTCCTGTTAAGAAGTTTAGTGTCCCCCCTTTCTGCTCCCCCCCCATCCCCCCCAAAACAAACAAACAAAAAATGTGATGGGCGATCTGTTAGTAATTGACTTAAGGCCTCCAACCTCTTTCACAGGGGCTACCAAACAGCTGTAAAGAACTTTTCAGTCAATATGGGTCTGGAAAAAAAAAATCAATTTTATGAAGCCCCTGCATCTCCGCTTGACATTAGAGGGAGGTGCAGGTGCTCAGCAATCATGAAAAATCAGACCCTAGAAAATTTGGTCCCATTCGTGACCAAGAGGTGATGGACCCCATCTCATATTTCAGATCCCATAAATATTTCCTTGCCGTACATCATAACAAATTAACCCTTTATAGTAGAGTAATGGAAAATTACACAGATATGGGTTTATTTTCTGTTAAAAAAACAAAAATGCATCAAATTGATTTGACAGTCTAAAGTGAACATCTTCCTTGGTAGTTCAGAATTACTCAAAATAATTGGGTAACCCTTCAGTTTGGGTTTTCCATTGTGACGTATCAGTAATTATACATCACAATGCAAAAGTAGTGTGGTGTTTTGCTAAACTAGGAATCAGTGTAGATTCCTGGTTCCTTTAATCAGACTGAATCTGTGAGAGTAATTTTTATTTCTAGACAGGATAGGAATGGTTAATTTTTTTGCCAATAACTTTTTGGAGTAATGTGTTTTGAAATACTTAGTTTCTCTTTCTAACTACAGGACCATTTGGAGAGCGTGATGATCAACAAGTGTTCATCCAAAAAGTTGTTCCTGTCACTAATAAACTCTTTGTCAGGTTGTCTTCTACTGGGAAAAGGTAAAAGCTCGAGTCTTCTGTTGCATCTCTGATAAAATCCACTTATTGTACCTATCCAAGAGCTGACACTAAGCCTGTTGGCTCTGATACTTGTGCTAGCAAGTCAAAGCACAAAGATGCTGTATAGAACTCATTTCTCACTTATGATTTAATGTAGGTATCTGACTGGTATCTGACTTTAATGTAAACATACAGTTGCTCTGCTCTAGTTTCATTATCAATGCCAACAATAAGGGGTGTCTGGTTTTGCTTTTACTTACTTCACCAGAAAAACTTCCCAAGAAAGAGAATAATTTCAAAAAAGCATAGAAAGTGTAATTGGCTGAAATGCAACTTAAAAAAATTGTTTGAACCCTTTTGGCTTTGCTTTTACTATACAATGTATTGCTTGAAAAAGACCTTGAAGAGTTAACTGAGTTAAATGCCTTGGATAGATAATCTCAATAGACTTTTTGCTTCGGTACTCCCAGTCCTCATTCAGTGGGCAAAACGGGGAACTGGGAGTAAGGACCCCCCTAGGTTATCTTTCTGGCATTGCTACTAGCTCGCTGTGACCTTGGGCTAGTGAAGATGTCTCTCTATACCGATATGTAAAATGGATATACTCTACCTTCCAGGGATATTTAGAGGCTTAGTAAATATTTGAAAAGTGCTGATTAGCATTGGATGAAAGGGGCTAAATAAGGATAAAAAAATCAATTTGGGTTTCACTTGTAGCATAACAATAAAATTGTACTTTGCAAGTTAAATGCAAGCTGGCTGCAGGCAAACTATGAGTGTACTCTTTTAATGGATGCTTAATTATATTCCTGACTTTAGAGGGGTCTTCTGTTCTTCCATTTGTTGCTGTGTATTGCTACCGTTCATTAAAAAACTGATTCTCTGCTTACTTTTAGTTTTAAAATAAATGAAAGCCAAAGCTGGTGTGGCAGTAGCTAACATGCTCTTGAAAGCCCTGGATACTAGTTTTAAATTGAAAGTGCTAGAACAGCCATGGCTGTTAATAGTAGTTCACTAGTACCTACTATCTGTAACACATGGCCTATCATCGGTTAATCTTGTAATGAATACAAACCCTTTAAGAGAATCAATCTTCTTGGCATCAAAGTTCATTACATATAGTCATAAGTAACTGTTAAAGGAATTAATCAAGAGAGTACATTTTCCATGCACCTAGGCTATCCATTTGACAGCTTGTTTGTTTTTTAAGCAAATAGCATTAGAAGCCCGTAATATGGTTGGAGGCCAAATTATTGTCCCAATGAATGTTATAAATCACTGTGGTTTAATGTTCTATGCATACACAGTGAAGAAACTGCCAAATGTTTATTAAAATTGGTGTCATATTAGGATAAATTTTAACAAAGTAATAACTCAAAACCATTTTCAACTCCAACCTCTTTTTTGTTCCCTGTCCTGTTTTGTTATGGCAGACTCTGTATTCTAATCAGACTATTCTTCCCTGATAACTTAATTAAGCCACAATTTAAAATTTTGATGCCACAGTAATCTCAATAGTTATGAGTAAAGCAAAAGAGGAATTCTCATTGCTTAGCCATTTTTTCTTCCCTTTAATTCATACAATGCAGGAGAAAGTTTCAGTTTGAATATCCTATTTGTTTTGTTCACTGTGTTTCTAAAAACACAGTGGAGGTGCAAAAAGCAAATCTATTGTGGACTGGATTAGATGACTCCTAGGGTTTGTCTACATGGTAAGTTACTGCATGGCAAGTCAGGGTGTGAATATATAGCACACCAGCTTGCCCCATGCTAATGTCCGGTATGGACACTTCTACAGCGCAGTGAGAGTCTTGGAGTACAGGTTAGCGTATTGCCATGCACTCTGGAGCTGTCACTGTGCTGTAGAGTCATACCCTGACTTGTCACACAGTTACTTGCCATATAGCTAAATCCACAGTATGGAGGTACTCACCATGGGCTATGACGGTGGTGGAATTTGTCCTCAAGTGTTTAAAAAAAATTGAACAATAAGTAGGAACAGGAAGGAGGTGGCTAACATCCCCAAGTTTTACAGGCTTCCTGATTTCACTGTTAGGTGAGTGACATCACAGCTACCCTAAACTTGAGTCATTTCATTCCGAACCTCATTTTTTCCTCTCATGTAATTCTTATCTTTTCATCTTGGTGTGAAATTTTCTGAATGTAAATAAACTTTTTGCTTAAACTGGTTAGTTTTTAAATTAAGAGTTGCCCTGGATTTTGTTTCTCTATGAGAACAAGTACCTGTGACATGTTTGAAGGAACTTGTTCAGTAAACTTTAAAAACTCGCAGCAGTTGGAAATTACATACTAGTCTTGTACAATACTTAATATACGGTGCTGACTTTGAACACATCCTGAGCCCAGATCTCTCTGGAGAAGCACATGCAAACCTAGAATCGGGAAATCTGTAACCCAGATTCCATAAGAATGCAGGAAACTAATGATGGGGTTGGTTTTTTTTTAAATGTCTAGCAGCTACTCTGTACTCTTTTCCCTTCTCTTTTGGAATCTTACTAAAAGTAACATTTAGAAGTGAACTGCAAAAAATTTTATGAGTTAGAAATGGATGTTAAAAGAGAAGGTGTAATTTGGCATAAAATAAACCATAGCACCTTCTATCCAGAGATCACAAATCTTAATATTAATAAATTAAGCCTCACAATTGCCCTCTAGGATATGTGATGCGATAGTTAGGATTATAATCTGTAATTGTGTTAAATGCCTTTTTGTAGAATATGCGAGATCCAGGCCGTAGACTGTACCACAATTTCTTCGTTTACTGTACGAGAATGTGAAGGATCCAGTAGGATGGGCTCAAGACCACGACGTTACCTCTTTACAGGTCATTCAAATGGCAGTATTCAGATGTGGGATTTGACCACAGCGATGGACATGGTTAATAAAAGTGAAGAGAAGGGTAGGTTGTAATATAGCAGAACTTATTTTTCGGCTCAAATGCTTGCATTAGAGGTGATCAGTGACCACTATCTTTCTTTTCTAAGATGTAGGGGGTCCGACAGAAGAAGAGCTGCTTAAATTGCTTGATCAGTGTGATCTGAGCACCTCACGCTGCGCTACTCCTAACATCAGTCCAGCAACTTCAGTAGTTCAGCAAAGCCGTCTGCGGGACTCAAGCTCTAGGTAGGCCAAAGATCCACAGGATATACTATCAGCTATGTGTGCCAAGACTTAGGCGAAAACTTTCAAACGTGAGTGTCTAATTTTAGGCACTCTTAGTCCATATTTGGGCACCTAAATAAGTGCCCTGATGTTTTTGGGACACTGCTCCCATTGGAGTTGCATGTGTACAATTTAGGGAATGAGTGAGCCCTTGCTCACAGAGATAGGCAGGTTGGAAATCCTCAGCACATTCCACTGCCAATTATAGGACAAGCACAGCTGAGTGTGCTCTGGGATTAATAGTTCTGAAACATCCTCCCTCAAAAATCGTATTTCTCTTTGGGTAACACGCATGCAGCTGACAGGATATCAGACCTCAGGTGTTCAGAAGTGTTATTCCCATGGATTATATGTGTATGCTCTGTAACACATCTGGGAATCCAATATACTCTTCACAAATTCCAAATGGTTTTCTATTTGGCTAGAGAGAAGGAACAATCTGCTGCATGTTTCTTACCTTTCAAAGCTGAAGTCTGTTCTGAGGAGGGTGACGATGTTCGTTCGCATCAGTATTTGTTGTAACCCGTGACGTGAGAAAGAAGGGAGAAATGTTTTACTGTTGAATCTGTTTTCAGCCTCCAGTTACAGCACCATGAAACCATCCATGAAGCTGCTACGTATGGCTCAGTAAGGCCATATAGAGAGAGTCCTTTATTAGCAAGGGCAAGACGGACTGAGAGCTTTCACAGTTACAAGGACTTTCAGACTTTTAATATTAACAATAATATGGTGGACAAGGCTGTCCCTGAGAATGGCAATCTGAGTCCAGTACAAGCTGAAATGAAGAAGACAGCAGGTGAGAGCAATCCAACAGACAAAAAGGCAACAGTACTTGAAGTAAGAGCTACTAGAATATCATCAGATGCTGGGGCAGAAGTTCAGAAAGTGCCTGAAAGCTCTTCAGAAGTGAAGAAAAGAGTGCCAGATGATGAAAGTGAGAACAAAGAGAATAAAAAGAAAAGTGGATTTGATGGAGGGGGGCTCCTGGGAAGAAAGAAGGTACCTCCTCTGGTGTCTTCACCAATTATTGTGGAAGGAGGGCCTGAATCACCTGGTACGGCGTCCCCATCACCCACAAAGACTACCACTTCTCCACGCCACAAGAAAAGTGACTCTGCCTGCCAAGACTATAGCTTGTGAAAATGCTAAAAGTGATGTACATTTGTTTTCAAGGGTTCAGATGAAAGTTTAACACTTAACTGGATGTAACTTTTACACTACAGATTCATCCTTTAAAAAGGTTTCATTTGAGTGTCTCTAACTGAAAGAGTTAAAACTGTAATAAGTTTTCATAGTGCATCTCAACAACTTGGGTTTACAGCACAACCAGCAAACATACTCTAAATTGATGTACTTCATTTTCATATTGTATAAAGCCAAACAATACTTGGTACAAAACATTGATGTAAAATCCTGTTTTATGCAGTCCAGCATGCACTACAGTATTTGTCTTAGGAAGAGTTTTATAGGTAACTTTCTAAGTCCCATTACTGGACCTTCCCTTTGCAATCACCAAAATATTAAATGTCTGTCACCTGCTTACTGGCCCTTAAAGTTACCATGAATATTATTTGCAATTCCTTGGGGTTACCCATTGTGTTCTTTCACCTCCTTCAAGTTAATAGAAAATTAGCTGGGTGCTAAACGCTGTTTCATCACTTAGAAAAGCTTCTCTTGCTGAAGTTTGCCTTGTTTGTAGAGCGACTATGTTGTTTTTCAGTATTGATCAATTTGACATTTATGTGCTACAATTCTTTTGTTTATGAGAAACATTCAAAAAGTCTTTATGCTTACAGATGCTCTAAAACATTATTTTGCATATCTTGGTCCTAATATTAAAATGCAAAGGAATGTTATTACCTGTACTTTTTTCCTCATTTCTCTTTGCAGAGCTTTCAAATACCTGAAATTATAAACTGTAACCTCTTGTGGAGGGGGAAAAAAGCACACATTTTGCTGCTTATTACTGTATCTAACACTAATGTCTAAGAAATAGACTAAATATTTCTTGTTAGAAAACTTACTAGGCTATTCATACATTCCTCTTCTAAGCTTGCTGCTGTACAACAATGCTATAGTGGTGTTATGCTCTTCTAGATCATGGGAGTTTCACCCCTCAACCAGAAATGCTGGATTCAAGTCCCCCCACATCTTCCTTACAGCATCAGTAGTACTAAACTTTAATAAAAGTAGGGCATGCAGAGTTAAGTGGATACCTCCCATGCAACTTTAATGTATTTTTATGAAGATACGTTGCTTTGCCATAATGTGCAGACTTTAGCTGGAAATACTAAGTAATTGAGTTTTGTTAGTGTGAGGGTGTTTTTTGTTCTAGTTGCAGTCCTTAATACATACGTCAGTTTCTTTGCAGACAGTTTCCACAAATTTGGATGAGAGCTTTGAAGGACCCGAGACACTGGTGTCTTGAACCAGGTAAGGCTGGGGCTATTTTGGTTGGTTATGCACTAGGACAGTCTGCCAGGCATTTAGGAGCAGTGACTTATAAAGTTTTGGCTATTTTTAAATGCGTCAAGACCCGCAGATTTACAGAAATGGAAAAACAAATGAGCTAGAATGTCCTTTTCTCCTTCCTCAAATTTTAGTTCTTTACTAAAGAATCACTTTTAGCCTCTTCTTTAAAGAATGCAGGGTTGTAGCCATGTTGGTCCCAGGATATTAGAGAGACAAGGTGGATTAGGTGATATTTTATTAGACCAACTTCTGTTGTTGAAAGAGACAATCTTTCAAGCTACGCAGCGCTCTTCGTAGTAGAGTGTTATAGCATGTGGTTTTGGTTATTACTCTTGATGTCATTTTCCATAAAATATAGGCGGAAATTGGATCCTCAGACTGAGGTCAGTGTAATTCTGTGCTGAAAAATTCAAAGTGGAAAGCATCGTGTATTAGTTAATGACATCATATCAAATGGGCTCATTTTACAATTATTTTTGTAAAGTCAGCCTTGCAAGTTCACCCAGTGAGCTGAAAGTTTCAAGCTGTTCTTATTTTTTCTGGCTCAGACTTTCAGTGGGGTTGTAGAAATAGGTATGCAGTATTTGGTGTGGTGATGTGAAAACCAGCTTTATTTTCAATTCTCACAGTAATGGAGGAAACCCAGTCTGGTAGTTTTAGATACTTTACAACCCTACTTTGAGACTCCAGCTGCTAGGAGAAGCCAAAGCAGGAACTGCTGCTGGGGGTAAAATAGACGCCAGCTGGGGCTAGTGCTCCCAGGCATGTAGCCTTGGGGAAAAACTGGAGGAAGGAGCCATACCCAGGCTGGGTCTACACTACAGCGGGGGTCCGACCTAAGATACGCAACTTCAGCTACGTGAATACCGTAGCTGAAGTTGCGTATTTTAGGTCGGCTTACCTGGCTGTGAGGATGGGGAAAAGTCGACCGCTGCCGCCTCTTGCCGCGGTGGATTTCCGGAGTCGACGGCAGAGCGATCAGGGATCGATTTTATCGCGTCTTCACTAGACGCGATAAGTCGATCCCGGAACATCGATTGCCTGCCGTCGGACCCTCCGGTAAGTGTAGATGTACCCCCAGACACACTGTCATAAGAGCAGCTAAAGCAGGGACCGTCAGAACTTCCTCTCCCCCCTGTGCTTATTGGCCCTTTGCTCCAACCCTCTTCTTCCCCCTCCCTATCAATGCCTTTCACCTCAGATTCACACCTGCTCTATCCCCTTCTTTCTAGTTAGCTTATCCCCTCTCCAAAAAAAATAAAATAAATCAAGGCTGTTTGCAGCCATGACGTTGTTCACTCAATTGTATTACTTCCCCCATCCGGTGTCTATTTAGATTGTAAACTCTTCAGGGGAGGGATTATCTACTCTTTTGCACAGTGGGGCCTGATTCTTGGGTGGTTCTTAGGCTTTACTGTAGTAAACATTATATTCTTTATTATTAATAGGGGGAAATTAAATGTACTTCATTCCATGGCATGAATGCACTATTATATTTGTAGAGTTCTACTTAAATATTGAATGCTATGGTATTCCTTTACTTACACAATCCCTTCACTCCCTTTCACTTATGGAAGCTAACTTTAGACCCACCTTAGAACTGCTCCTCCTAGTACTGTTGGTCTGTGTACATGACTTCTCTTGCTAGTAGAGTTCATGGTACAAGTCCGCGACTGTCATGCTCAGTTGCGCAATGCTTTTGTTCAGGTCTTAAAGTGCAAACTAAAGATGCTGCTCTTCAGATAGGGTCTTTCTTCAGAAGGGAAACATCAGCAAGCATAAACAGGCGGTGCAGCTGAACAAGAGTTTCTTTAACCAGAGGCAGTGGAAAGTGCTGTTACTCCAAGTCTCCATTTGTATACTTCAGAATAATGCTAGCTGTACACTTGGGACATTTCCACAGAATGAATAACCAAATTTTTAAAATGGGAAAAAGTCTTCGGATAAAACCATTGCCATGACATTTACATAATAATAAATAACACCACGCTTTAATGGTGCTTGCATGTGAAATAAGATGACTGGTGAAATTCATGCCTGCTTTTTTTGTGAATCAAACCCTATAAAGTAGTTGATTTTAAGAAATTTTGGATTGATCTGTAGGGTAGAAATATTACATTATGAACGCCAGCATTATCTCATCTCCCTTGGTCTGCTTTAAGTTACAAGGCAGACAATCCTGTACCACAGTCTGTTTTGCATTTTCTGTTGCTAAATAACCCAGTTTTTTATTCTGTGGATTGTTTAAAAGGTGAACTGGAGAAAAGGCAGCACAGTGTCACTACTTTTTTATTGTAACACTAATATCAAGCTTGTACATTCAGCCAAATTTTTCAACACACACTTTTTTTGTTCTTTATATTATGTGGTAACAAAAATACTTGTATCAAATTTAGATGTAACCTTTTATTAATCTATATTTTCAGATTAATTTACAGGCACAATAGAATCCTAGTCTTGAAAATAAACAAATTACTACAGTATGAACTATGCAATGCTTTTTTCCCTACCACAGAAATAATTAAGCTACTCTAATCTGTACTGTATAAAGAAATTGATAGTATTGTATGATTGAGTATATTGCAACATGTACACCATAACAGCCAATACTTGAATTCTGCCTCCCTACTCCTTTTGAGTATTTCCTTACTGTTTAATTTAAATGAGACTATTTGTAGAGTAAGGTATAGGGGGAGGGAAGAACAGAATCCTATCTAGCCCTAAATGTATGTTAAAACAAACACTGGCAATAATTGTTCACATTACAGTAAACAGATTTCCTCTAGGGGCCCTAATGTTCCAGCTCAGCTCATAGGTATTCTGTCTTACTCCCAGCAGTTTGGACAGAAAATAGAAACAATGAGATCTGTCTGTTTAAAACGAAGCTGTAGTAGCTCTTTTGTTCTTTCCTGTGAAGCTTACCTTAGAGGTGGGTTTTTTACCACTTTGTTTTTGTCACATCCCTTTCTTAATTTGATGTTGTTTGCATTTCACTGTTTTTCAAAGCAATTTCCAGTTGCAAAATGTAAGGATCGTGCCAAATGCATGACAACCAAGATAGTTTGGGGGGAGAGGCTTCATCACAATGCCAAACATTGAAGCAGCTGAGCCACAACAGATTTAATAGGAATAAGGCATGTCTTTAACATATTTAAATAATTTATTAAGAATTTGTTTTTAGAGCTATGATCATCCTGACTTATTTCTCTAAGACCAACACCAGAGGGCAGGCACTAGAAACTACAATACATGTGAGTAAAATCCAGAACAGCTTTCTCTAAGTTGAAATATATCAAAATTTAAATTTACTCTTGCACAGTCTGGTGTTGCAAGGTTCTGAGCACCCTCAAATCTTATTCTGGGAAATTGAGAGTATTCAAGGTGTCACAGGATCACCTCTTTAGTGATTTTTAAATCCATCTCCTGTCGTACATGATTTAAAGTAGATTGAAATGGATAGGAACATTTTAGGGTTCCTGAGTGGATGGGCAATTGCACAAGTTTTTTGTGCTTTTGCATCTGTAGCAATATTTCATAGACAGAATTGACTCTTCCTCCTTTGTTGTCTTAATTAAAGTGAGCAAACTGGGTTGTAATGCTCTTAAGAACAGATCTAAATGTATTCTACACTTCTTGTTGACCAAAACCCTTTTTTCCCCACTGATAATACATTTCCCACCACAGTATAATATAATGAAACATGATTAAAATTTCAGGATTAGGTATGTGCAGCTGTTAAAAGTAAGTGTTTATGAAACTTCTCTGTATACTATATGGCTATTTAAGGTCTCGCCAGTACTGTGACACAACGTTGTACATACAATAGGACATTCTTCTCACCTTCCCCTTTTGAAATATTACTGTACAATATTTGCAATAAATATTTAACACTGATCTATATGTAGAGAGCACATTTACAATATATAACTCTATTCTTGGCTGTTATAACAGTACTCCTAGAAAATGTATTCATATTGCTAAAGTTCCAGTAGGCACACTTTTTACAACATACTCCCAAAACTGTTACATTAGAAATGAATTTCTACATGTTAAATTGAACAAAACAAAGATTTTGTGCTCCTTCAGCTGCTTGGGGTTGGCTGTGGTACTTACTCCAAATAGGTATCACAACTGGGTGTCAGTGAAGGTTGTATGTTCTTTAGTTACTGTACTGAAGCCTTTGATGGCATTCACAAGGTCTTCGTCATCCACATACTAGGGGAGAAAAAAAACCCAGCAAGTGATTTGGCTAATAAGTAAAAATTTAGAGAACTATAAATACTGACCTAGTCATAGAACAACGAAACCAGAAATAGCAGATTTGTCGTTCAAAAGAAAATAGACTTGCTACACGCACAGTCACAATACTTGACTGCATTATCAAACTGATTCTCACTAAGACCTTGTCTAGACACAGCTTTTATACTGATTTAACTATTTTGTTGAGGGATGTGATTTTATGACGGTATAGTTAATTCCCATAAATTCAGGTGAATAACCTGTACTGCTATAAGCACCTTTACAGTGGTAGAATTGCGTCCACTCCAGGGGATTGTACTGCTTTAATTATATCAGTTTAGAAATTGCATGAAAGCCACATAACCAATAGACTACTGAAACCACTCAAGGAATGTCACGTTTTCGCTGTAGTTATGTGCAAGAAGGAATAAAATGTCGGGTGTATACAGTAGCTTAACTGTGCAAAATAGTTAATGGGTAACATTTCCAAAAGCACCTTTTCTGAAAGTGAGACCTTGGCTCATGAACCACAGTGACTTAGCTGCTTCTGAAAATAGGATTTAGGCTAGTCATTAGGACCCAGAGCCTCAAAGGTATTTAGGCAAGTAGCTCTTATTACCTTTGAGGATCTGGGCCTAGATGCTTTTGGAAATTTTGCCCAGGATCTTGGTAAATGTTCAGTTACTAAGATAATGCCAAATGTGCATGCATTCATGGCTAACTCATGGAATTGTAGAACTAGAATAAGAACTTACCGAACCACTATCATGACCATGTATAATGGTATCCCACACAGAATCTTCTATTAGGGACTTCTTGTCATAGACATCGATAAGTTGACTGACACTGCGATGTAAAGAACCTTGGGAGTAGGTACGACTCATCTGGCTTTGACTTGGTATCTGTAGAACGGAAGTACTTCGGTTGCTACGATTACTCAAAGGAGAGCTGGGTCCTGGAATTTTTGTATCTGATAGTCCCTAGGAATATTGGAGTAAAAAGGATGTGCTTATGAAAGGTTTACATGAAAAATGTAATAGATTAACATTTCAGCTCAAATAAATTTCTGTTGCAAAATAAAGCTCTTGAAAATAACTAATTTTGTAGTAGAAGCCATAGTAGTAAAGTAACATGTTAATGGTAGAGGTTTTTAGGCTGATAACAGAACATCATTATCACTAGCTCCAGCTATTGTTCCCTGTGGAAACAATGGCTTGCTGCAATGCGGTTTAACAAGGTGATCTCTTGAAGATCTCTTGTTAAGCATGCAATTGAAACGCATCACCACAGTAATTGCCATTCCATTTTAGAACCAGGAAATAGACAACCGATGCAACACTTGCAAGGTTAGGAAGCACCTGGCTTATCTGGCAGGGGACAATACCTGGCAATTTTAGCAACTAGCTTTTCAGAAAATGTTTTGGGAACTTGTGTAACTATGCTGTCCCTATCCACCATTTGACCTTTCTCGCTTTCCAAAAAGCTGTGTAAAACAAATTATATGTTAAATGGACAAGTAGAGCCCCAAATGGTTTTTCTAACATACTGTAGTGTGTGTGTTTCAGTAACACACAGCTATGCACTTGCTTTATTATACACTTTTTAAAGTAGCAGCTATACACCACTTTGGATCATCTATCTCAGAATTTTCAACTGCTAACAGTTGTGCAGTAATAAAACATGCACCATGCAAGAAATTCTCATGCAAAACACTTCCAATTAATTACAGGTTTGGTTGCCACAGCACACAGGTTGCATATTCGCTAACTATACCTCAAAATGCATCGTGTAACTTTTTAGAGTAACACTACTTGCGGACTCGGACATCTCGGCAATAGAATCAAACTGAGATTGAAAAGGGAGGAGAGTTGTTAACAGCACTGCTACATTAGCCCAGGTGCTGTGACAAGTGTTTTATTCTGTGGTTAGATTACACTGTAAATGGTCAGAGCTATACTGATTTACACCAGTTGAGAATCTGGGCCATTGTACTCAACTACAGGGCAATGGAATGATTTTTACAATAAAAACTCATGGCAGTTGAAAACTAATTTGTTGGTCTCTCTAAGGCAGGTTTCACTTGTAGTATTTGTACAGGACAGCAGAGGATGAAAGTTCCAAATTCAAGTCAGTAATTGAGTTTTGTGAAAACCTGCACTGTATGCGGTGTGACCTTGAAAGTGATGATAAAACAAAAATGAATCCCTCCCTCTACAGCATCTATAGCCCTTTCCTAGCAGTTCAGACTAAAATGTGTGTGCAGACATAAGCACTGCAAAGCCTTACCTTATCTCTCCTCTGTGATACTTGTGAAGATGAGATGACAGGAACTTGTAAAGGAGTTGCAATAGGATGCTGATGGCAGGGATGATCAATTAAAGAGGTTTTCTGCATTTTTAAAGCATTGTAGGTGGAGAATATAAAGGGGGTAAATATACGAGTGTGTAGAAGACAAGGAGTTAAACAAAAGGGACAGTATCTTTAATTTTCCCAAGGAGAAATTGGATATAAGGCACTTTTTTTTTTTCCAATTTAAATTTCTGCCATTTGTTTAGCCAAAGAGGAGCCACAATTATATTGTTGAAACTGATGGCACAATGTGCGCTATAGCAGCTTGTGGAATTAATACAGATCTGAATGACTTATTTCAAGCTGTTGACATGTCTGCTTGTACATTGAGAAAAATTAGAAAAAATAGTGGGGAAGAGGTTGTAAAGAGAGGAGTGATTTAATGGTCTTTAGAACCCAGGAAGTCCTGGCTCCTCAGTACTTATCTTCTTCATCACAGGATTTTCTGTGGGTATGTTGCTTTCTTCCTCAGTTTCCATCCTAAAATGGGCATTCTACTAACCTTCCTCAGTAGGTTGTTTTATATAATTCCTAACTAATGTTCACAAGTATTATTGGACTCCTTTCCTCAGCTCCAAGCGACTATTGTGACATGTGACTCCATGGCAAGCTAGGCTATTTTCAAGTCTCACTTTGTATTTCAAAAGCTAAATTACGATTATTATTTTTAACAGTTCCTCATTTAGCCTTTTGTAATTGTCATTAAGAGTTGCCACACAATGTTTCTAAGGCAAGCAGCCCCAGACTCAAGGGGGTCCTTCTGAAAACAGACACATTTTCCTTTAAGGTACCCACTTGGCCACCTAGCTCAACACCACTCCATGAGGAGCCAGAACACTCACAGGCCCTTAAGGGGCTACATAAAGATCTAAACTGGCAGCTTAATGGGTTGTTAACATAATTCTTTAAATAAGGACATAAGACATGAGAGCAGCATGCTTACTAATCAGTGGTGTTGCGCCTGACAAACTGAGCAGCTGTGGCAGGTGAGGGCTACTGTTCCCTGATGAAGGGCACATTACAGAAGCACAGGATGGCTGGATGAATCCATAGAAATACCACCCTTCCTCTTTCTAATCTGACAACCAAGCTCCTGGAAGGCAGGGTTCTTAACAATTTTTGCTTATACTCGTATATGCTAAACAGTGAAGCATGTGTTAAAGCCCCCAATTCAACTTTTACACCGGAAAATACAATTGCAGCAGGCCCAAGCAGCCCTCAAAGAAAGATGTGAAGCAAGAGGGAGCAGGGGATAGGAACGGGCACAAACATGCTTTTGGTTGCTATAATTATCTAGGATTTTATACGGTCATCTATCACCATGGTATCTGAGGAGTCTATATGTGTCAGCAGGGTTTAAAATGCTGTGGTTTTGCATTCACTGAAGTCAGTGGCAAAACTCCCATTGACATTAATGAGTGCTGGATCAAGCCCATAGTTTGTAGAATTGTACTCAGTCATTTGAAATAATGGGAAACTAGTGAGCACTATTCTAATATTTATTCCTTTTGCCTGAGAACTAATTTACATAATGGGGCAACTCCTCAGCTAGTATAAATAAGAGTGACAGACTAACGATTTCCTGAATGAACTTCACTGAATTAAGTTAAACCTTATTGAATTAGTTTTCATTGTATTAAAATGCAAATATGTATGGTGAGATTGTATGGAATTTATTTAGTAGGAAGATGAATGCAGTCTCTGGAAGGTAGGAGGAAGTCCAAAGGTCTTTTTGGAATGATATGTGTGAAGCGGATTTCTTTAGAAAGAGCTTGAGCAAATTCTCCCCCTAGTTCAAATTTGGTTCTCCAGGGTCCAAGAGACAAAGAAAGGTGTTTGGGATAAATAACTTGAGTTTGTTTACACTGACTCAGGAAGAAGCCTCTGATCCAGCAAATGGACAGGACCCCAGCTCCACAGAGGGCCCCAATCTTTAGGGTAAGGGTGGAAGACTGTCAGAATCCATGTTAGGATTGGGGTGGACTCTGGTAAGTTTGTTAGCATGTCTGTAGGGTTTTTTTTAATATGTTTTCACCTTAGGAATAAAGTAGGCTTGCAAAGGAAGTGCTATGCAGTAAGTTAGAACTTGACAATCAGTCTCTGAAGAGAGAGCGAGCAGGTGTGCTTGGGCAACCTGTCTGTGCTGGGAAATACAAAGGGAACAGCACAGCCTGGGAATTACCCGGTCAGAAGGGGGAGAGAGACTGGTCTCTACCCAGAAAAGCAACGGTTGTGGAGCTAGAAACCAAGAGTTGGTGCCTTTACTGGTCCACTATGGGGAAATACAGGTTTAGCTGCCCTGAACTGTGACAATAAGCATAGCTTGACTGAGTCAGTGGGGCTATATTGATTTACAGCAGCTAAGGATCTGGCCCAATCAGTGTATCGATACCTGAAGAGTGACCTCCCCAATAATACAATAAAGCTAAAGATGTCCTACCCCTGTGTCATTTAAGGAATTAAACACATCTCAGTCTTCCTACCACATTCATCACTGAGGTATCTGGCCAAGAAAAAAACCCAGCCAAGTTCTGTTGCTTATTTGAACGGTAGTCACCACTTACTCCCAATTTACAGCTTGGCTCTTTTTCTGGGTTTGTAGCTTTCAGATCTTTCACGTGAAGCAATATGCACCTTTTCCCTCTTACTATATTTAAATTGTAAGTTAATGCCCTTAGACTGCACCATTATCCTTTGTAACATATGTTCCATTGCAATAACTCTCTGTACAATAAAAATACACATTATTGTGCTTTGCATGACATACCATGTGTGTGTCTCCTGGTGAATATACAGTCATTGGTGATGTCCGCTTTTGGAGTGGAACTAAGGGAGGCCTTTCTCTTGCATATGGTTGTTTTTTTATTTTTCTTCGTAGAATCAAGGATAGAAAAATAGCCAAGAGGATCAAACCTAGAACTGCCATTAATATCACAAACCACAGTTGAGTATAAAATTTTGCATATTTAGTCTCTGCTTCATCCTTTTCTCCAGGAGTTGTTAATATAGGACCTGTATAATCCAGGGAGGTAAAAGGGAAAGATTATTTTAGAAAGCAGTTTAGTCATAGATCGTCCCCTTATTTTATAATATATTAGAAAGACGTCTGAAGCAGTTTGTCACATTGTGCTTATTTGCACTTATGTTCAAGGTGGTGTAATGGTTCAATATGCTAGTGGGCTGTAATAAAAAGCTTACTGCACTCAAGAGACCATGCTTAAAGTTCTGGCATTGCTGCCTGGGTTGGAAATCACCATTGCACTAGCATCTCCTAAGAAAGAGGAGGGGGGAATTCGAAAAAGGTTGATCAAAGTAACCTTGAACAGTTGAAACAATGATGGGTAATTTCAGAGAGGTGCAGACAGAATGTTTTCTGCAGCATGATAGCCCAGCACACGAAGCAGTTGCTACTGTGGACACTGCAGCACAGATTATAAAACAATAAAGCCACAAAAAGAGGCCAAATAAAATAAAAAGTGTAGGACAGGGACATGAAAAAGATACACAAAGTGTTTCATTGTTCCTTCCAATACATGGTGCACAATACTGCACAGCTTAGAAAAATCAATCACTGGGGGGGGGGGGGATGCATTGTAGCTTTGCAGGATATTCAGCAATGCATCCAAAAATGGCTGAGTGTGCTAGAGTCCTAGAAACAAAAACAGAACAGAGGTGACGTCTTTGCCACAAAGCCACGTCTAGGTTATAAAAAATATATACATTGTTTATTTGCCACCCCTCAACATGAAGGAGATCTGGCCAAGGAAATGAAATTAGGTGTCAACATTGTGTCTAACAAAACAAAATATATTTGGCTCTAAAGTCCTATTTCAGCTTTGGTTCAAAGACATTTAAGGGGTTTTCACACTGTGATTATCTTATACCCCATTTCTGGTTCAGGAAACAAGGTTTTAATGCAATCTGACAATCTCCTCCACTCTTCTAGTAGATTAAAAATTAATCCACTGCTCCTCCACACCTGCATATTGAGACTGGCCTACACTGATGGCTTAATACTAACTTGGATGTGGCTGTCAGAGAAAACTAACATCAGCACTTGTGGAAAGGGATCTTAGCTATGGGCCAACAATGGGTACCCATGGCAATTTATAATTGTTTACATCTGCCAGGGCTCTGCTTCCAGGAATTTCCATTGTCTCTTCTTAGAAACCTGGTGTGGTGATTTGCTTTAATCTGATCTGTCTCGTGGATGATATGTCTGAGATATAACTAGTGGTCAAAAAAGAAAAGATGTTTGGCTGCATAAGGAAAGGGATGAAGAATAATATGGGAAGTATAATGCCTTTATACAAATCCATACTACAGCCTCATCTGAAGTGCTGTGTGCAGTACTAGGATATTGCACAATTGGGGGAGGGGGTTCAGAGAAGGGTGACGAGTGATTAGGTACATGGAAAAATTCTCACAGAAAGAAACGCTGAAACGATAGGGATTGTTTACCTTACAAAGGAAATGAATACGTGGGGACATGATACAAGTATATAAAATAATGAATGGTCTAGAGAAGGAAAATGGGGAGCTACTGTTCTCCCTGCCACACAACAAAGGGGACATCCAATGGAATTCAACAGTGGGAAATTCCAAACTGAAAAAAGGAAATACTTTTCACATGATGCACAATTAGGCTGTGGAACCCACTGCCACAGGATGTTGTTGAGGTTAAGAACATAAGATTCAAAAAGGGAGTGGACATTTATATGGATATCAAGAACATAAAGAGTTATAATGCTTATTGCTAAAAAGGTATATCAAAACTTTGTATTTCAGGTTTTAAGCCAATCTCTGTCAGAGATCAGGATGAGACCTAAAATGGGGGGACAGATTACTCCACCTCTGCCTACTGTCGGGTTCTTACATCTTCCTCTGTCGTTGGCCACCGCTGGAGACAGGCCTAAATTAGGTCTATACCTATGTTCCTATGTATCTAACAGCAGCAAAACCTCTGTATTTGGATGCTCTTTGGGCAGGCCAGGGCCCTGACCCTGCTCTCCTCAGAGTGAAAGACAAAACTTCCATTGATTTCAACAAGATCAGGCCCTGTGTCAACATCCCTCTTCCTCAGCTGAAGCCTGGAAAGCTCAAGTTTCAGCCTATTTATTACATAAGAACATAAGGCGGCCATACTGGATCAGACCAAAGGTCCATCAAGCCCAGTATCCTGTCCTCTGACAGTGGCCAATGGCAGGTGCCCCAATGGGAATGAACAGACAGGTTATCATCAAGTGATCCATGCCCTGTTATCCAATCCCAGCTTCTGGCAAACAGAGGCTAGGGACACTATTCCTGCCCATCCTGGCTAATAGTCATTGATGGACATATCTTCCATGAATCTATCTAGCTCCCTTTTGAACCCCATCATAATACTGGCCTTCACAACACCCTCTGGCAAGGAGTTCCAGAGGTTGATAGTGCATTGCGTGAAAAAATATTTTCTTGTGTTTGTTTTAAACCTGCTACCTATTAATTTCATTTGGTGGCCCCTTGTTCTTGTATTATGAGAAGGAGTAAATAACACTTCCTTATGTACTTTCTCTATACCACTTATGATTTTATAGACCTCTATCATATCCCCCCCCTTAGTCGCCTCTTTTCCAAGCTGAAAAGTCTGTCTTATTAATCTCTCCTCATACAGAAGCCGTTCTATACCCCTAATCATTTTTGTTGCCCTTTTCTGAACCTTTTCTAATTCCAATATATCTTTTTTGAGATGGGGTGATCACATCTGCACGCGTAGTCAAGGTGTGGGGAAACCATGGGTTTATATGATATTTTCGGTCTTAGTATCTATCCCTTTCTTGATGGTTCCCAACATTCTGTTCGCTTTTTTGACTGCCGTGGCACACTGAGTGGATGATTTCAGAGACCTATCCACAATGACTCCAAGATCTCTTTCTTGAGTGGTAACAGCTAATTTAGACCCCATCATTGTATATGTATAGTTAGGATTATGGTTTCCAATGTGCATTACTTTGCATTTATCAACATTAAATTTCATCTGCCATTTTGTTGCCCAGTCACCCAGTTTTGTGAGATCCTTTTGTAGCTCTTCGCAGTCTGCCTGGGACTTAACTATCTTGAGTAGTTTTGTATCATCTGCAAATTGTGCCACCTCACTGTTTACCCTTTTTCCAGATCGTTTATGAATATGTTAAATAGGACTGGGCCCAGTACAGATCCCAGAGGGACACCACTATTTACCTTTCTCCATTCTGAAAACTGACCAGTTATTCCTACCCTTTGTTTCCTATCTTTTAACCAGTTACCAATCCATGAGAGAACCTTCCCTCTTATCCCACGACTGCTTATTTTGCTTAAGAGCCTTTGATGCGGGATCTTGTCAAAGACTTTCTGAAAATCTAAATACACTATATCCACGGGATCTCCTTTGTCTGCATGCTTGTTGACCTCTTCAAAGAATTCTAGTAGATTGGTGAGGCATGATTTCCCTTTACAAAAAACATGTTGACTATTTCCCAACAAATTATGTTCATCTATGTGTCTGACAATTTTGTTCTTTACGATAGTTTCAACCAATTTGCCTGGTACTGAAGTGAGGCTTACTGGCCTGTAGTTGCCAGGGTCACAACTCTGGAGCCCTTTTTAAAAAGTGGCGTCACATTAGCTATCCTCCAGTCATTTGGTACAGAAGCTGATTTAAATGATAGGCCACAGATGACAGTTAGTAGTCCTGCAATTTCACATTTGAGTTCCTTCAGAACTCTTGGGTGAATACCATCAGATCCTGGAGACTTATTACTGTTTAGTTTATCAATTTGTTCCAAAACCACCTCTAATGACCCCTCAATTTGGGACAGTTCCTCAGATCTATCATCCAAAAAAATGGCTCAGGTTTGGAAATCTCGCTCACATCCTCAACAGTGAAGACCAATGCAAAGAATTCATTTAGTTTCTCTGCAATGGCCTTATCATCTTTGAGTGCTCCTTTAGCTTCTCGATCATCTAGTGGCCCCACTGGTTGTTTAGCAGGCTTTCTGCTTCTGATGTATTTAAAAAAAATTTTTGCTATTACTTTTGGAGTCTTTGGCTAGCTGTTCTTCAAATTCTTTTTTGGTCTTTCTAATTATAGAACTATTGTGATGTCACCACCCCATTCCAGTCCTCCAAAGAGACCTGCAACCAAGAGAGGGGTCAGGACTTGATCTTTCTAAGGTTTAACAAAAAGAAACTCACCGCCAAAGCATGTAGCATTTACAAAAAACCATGAAGCTGTTCCTTTAAATTCTAAAGGGCCCAAAGGGTTTTGATTTGCTTTGTATTTCAGCTTTAACACAGGCAGTAAGATACCATCCCTATCGTCGTGCTGATGTACATTGTTAGCAGGTTTTGCATTTGTTTGATTTTTTGGTGGGAGGGAAAGAACTGTGTGTGAAATTCTCATTGGTTTAAAAAAACTCCAACACAGCACCTGCTTCAATAAAGAGAAACTTCCTGAATGAATTCAGCTGGCAATAAAGACACATCAGACACATACCTTAATGCTTCAAGAAACAATTTGGGCCAGATCAATAACTTCTATTTCCAAATCTGATCTGATCCAGTATGTGTTACACCTAATTGCTCAACACAAATTCACACATTAGTAGGAGCTAGGTAACGTCTCTACGTGTTTACCAAGTCCAGTAGCAGTGCTGTATTTGATCACTGGTGTGATGGCGCTCCCTTCATCGGTGGTACAGGTTACTTGAAAGAAAAAGGCTGAATAAAAAAGGCAAAATACAGAGTTACGAATCTCAAATGGGACTATCAAAATGCTTTGGCCCTGATCCTCCAACAAGATCTGCTAATGTGCACTGCTGCATTCAGCCATAATCAGAATGGGACTCCCCACAGGCACAACAGTCAACACTAGTGGATCCTAATATAATACTGAAGCCTGATTATCCACTAATATTCAGATATTAAACTGTATATTACAGTGGTATTGTTAGTAGTTATTGTTATATTCCCCTATAATCCCCCATTATCGCATGCTCATAACTTTCCAAATGTGACAGTCAATTTTTAAAGAAACTTCGAGAAAAACCCTCAGCCCTGTTTATTATAATGGGAAGATACAAAACCCCCAAACAAACCCTTCCCATCGTTAAATAAATAAACGTTTTGAATAGGGGTTATAGCAAAAAAGGTTGAAGTTTGAAAGCTGAAATCTAGCTGAGCCATAATTTCCTCGAGGGCTAGTGATTTTGCTTGGTTTGAGGAATTGTTTGATTACATTAGGAGCATTTGAAAATGGCAGTGGTCTTTATCAAGTCACAAGGTGAGATGAACTGTGCCCACATGCGCAGCTAGCAAGCAAATACATTAGAGAAGGTCATACTAAAACTTGTCAAAAGACAGCTGGACAAAGTTTTGTCCAGCTGCTGCCATACTTTCTGCACACATTGCCCAGCACAGTAGTCCCCTGCCCCACCAAATTGTGTTATTGGGAATGATTTCTGTAGCTTAAGCATCGATTTAGATTGGCGGTGACTATACTTCCTTGGAAAGCACTTTGAGCATCATCACAATATAAAGCATCTTAATCAGGAAGATTTTCTCAGGCCTATGGCACTTTATCAAAAGCAGCATAGTTCCAGTAGAATCCATGCAGCCAACGAAAGGAGCAGGTACAGATGCAATGTGGATGTGACGACCACCAATGGTATAAGGGCTCTCTTCCCTGTGGATCCCAAATATCCGCAAGGCTGGGAGGATATGCCTTCTACCCGCTTCCGTGATTCATCCAGGGCTCAGTCCTGCAAGGTGTTGAGCACGCTAGCCCAATCCAGCAAAATCCATAAGCATGTGGTTAACTCTAAGCATGTGAACAGTCCCATTGACTTCAGCAAGACTACTGATGTGCTTAATGTTAAGCATGTGTCGGATTGGACTAATGTGCTCAGCACCTTACAGAATCGAGCCCTGAAAGGGTCATGGTGGGGGTAGAGAGCACATCATATCTTTGTCCACTCCTCCTTTTGAGAGGAAGATCTGTAGTAAACTCCAGGAGGGCAGCCTCACAGTGTTTCCTGGCCATCTACACCCATCCCATGGAATTGGAAGAATTTATTCCAGAAACATAATCAATTCCCCTCACCCGCCCCTGTACCTCAAATAACCACTGTTCCTATAAATCACAGTAGGTACTAAAATGGTTTTGATGGAAAACTGCATTCAATCATCAGGATAAAGAGTACCTTACTAAGCATACACCATCAGCTTTTCAAGGAAACTAGAAGTCTAAAGAGACATTCCACTGATGAGCATTGGCTGGCCAACTTTGTAAAATTTAACATGTAATAAAACTAGATAAACACAGTCCTTAAGCTATAGAAATGGGAAACTGAAACTGACTTTTGTCAGATGTCCTTGGTAAATACAGCATGGTGTCAAAGCCACTATAGACACGCTGGGCTCCCTCAGTTAACACATACTCCTTCAGCTGTCCGTTCAGTAGGAAAGTGTGACTCCAGTCTAGGTAGATCATGGATAAATTGCTGACAACAGAAAATGGAGCTTTGTACTGAGGTACTGGGGGGGAAAAAAAAGGAAACAGCTCATTTATAAATTGTAGGCATCTCACTGGGTTGCACAAAATAAATGCATCAAATAAGTAGTGTAACAGGCTTTCTCACATACATACCCCCGTATGGAAAAAAAACAAGGAGACTGCACTTGCATTATCACACTGAAATATATTGTATCTACATCCTAAGTGAAACCCACAAGGAAAATTAGTAAAATTCAAGCGTAAGCTCCTTGGAGCAGGGAGTGTCTTTTACTATGTGTCTGTTCAATGCCTCGTATAATGGGCTAGATTCGGGGGTACAGGCACCATTGTAATACATAATAATAATAATTAATAATAAAATGGCTTCCAAAAATTAAGGATCAAGACATAAAAAATTCAACACAAGGAATGAGTTATATTCTATCAGCTGCACTGGTAAAACTCTACTGGAGTTAATAGGATTACACCGTGTAACAGGCCAAGACCATGTTCTGTTAAATAACAAGACTGGCACCAGAGCTTAAAGTGGTATGAAAAAAATGTGTTGCAGGGTGGGAGGGAGTGGGATGGCCTGTCATCTTCTACAGAAATGAAAACACCGGCTGTGCCCTGGCTCCCCCCCCCCCCAATATAATTTTTGCTCCCAGTGTTTCACCTCTGCTCCTCCTGGGGCACATCATCCTTTCCCCCAGACAGAGTGGGGAGGAGCTGCTGCTGGGCTCTTTCTGCTCCTACCTCTTTCCTCCACAGAGAGGAGGGTGAGAGAGCTCTGCCTGGGTCTGCAACTGCTCTGATTGGCTGCTTACACCCTAGGGAGGCAGGCAAGCAGGGGTGGCAGGTTTGTATAATTTTTGGTGGTGACCAGAACCGGTCCAAGTCCCCCCCCATGAGGGGGTTTGGGGTGTGGGAGGGGGCTCAGGGCTAGGGCAGAGGGTTGGGGTGTGGGGGTGAAGGCTGGGGATGTGGGGTTCATGGTGCAAGAGGGGGCTCGGGACAGAGGGCTCTGGCTGGGGGTGCAGGCTCTGGGGTGGGGGCTGGGGATGAGGAGTTTGGGGTGCAGGTAGGCTGCCCCTGGGGCTGGGGCCAGAGAGGAGGACTCCACAGTCCTCTCCCCGCCGGCAGCAGCGAACTCTGTGATAGGTGCTTCCCTTCCCCTACCGCCCCCCACCCTGGCAACACACTTTCCCTGCATGACTGTCACTGCATGTGCTCCTAGGGCCCCTCTCAGGTCCAGGAAGCCCCCTCACTTCCCCTGAGGTGGGTTCTGGGTGGGGCTGCCATCACGTATGCCCCTCCTCCCGGCCGGCGAGGGAGCGCAGCGCGGAGTGGCAGGGCAACCGCCTGCCGCCCAGGGTGCAGGCAGGGACGCTCCGGGGGGGGGGGCAGGCAGGGCTGGGGGAGAGACCCGGGCCAGAACATTGGTGGAGCTGGGCCCCCAGGCCCTGAATATTGCTGGAGCGTGCGCACCATGGGCCCATATAACTCGCCGCCCATGCAGGCAAGTATCCAATCCTAAGGGGTTTTCACCCCAGGCAGGACTGAAATGAGCACCCTTCAGCGACCTGGCTGGAGCTATTGAAATTTTATTTGTTGGATCTAGGACGCCTTTCAGCCAGGTGTACTTTAAGCACTGACTGGCACACAAGGTTCCTATCCATGGAGACACCACTGGTTAGTGTCTCCTGGATGGTAATATAATTGTCTCCTGTTTTGTTGCATTTTTCCTCTCATTTAACAGGTAAAGTATCTTTATTACTATTAACTATAATTGGAGGCTATTTTTCATATCAAATCAATATTTATTGCAACTAAGCCCAAAGCACTAGCTGAAGTTAATATATTTGTTCTCCAAACCAAACTGCTTTGAGAGTGAATTATGTCCTTTTGGCATCCATTCATTTTTAAAGCTTTTTCTTGAACCATTAGTTTATTTTCAGAGATAGTTAAAAAGCCTTACAAACAGCAATTCAAGTACAATAATTCACTGCCCTGACTAATCAATCAGTAGTGCAGTACATTAGTATATCATCAAGTCCCGGTTCCCAAATATTGTCTTCGATGAAAGCAACTTCACATACGTAATGCAGACATGTTAATTTGTTATGCTTTTGGCACTGTACTTACAACAAAGAATGCCAATAAACCATTGCCTCCTTTTTTAATGAAATGTTTTAGGTCTTCCTAATGAAGGAGACACAATGAACCACAGTGAATGCAAAGATTTTAGTGGCTTGGAGAGGTTGATGTGGAATTCATCAATATTGTAATTAACTTACTAATGCATAGCACTGCTCTCTACTAGATCAAATCAGTACTGTTCAGTTGAGTATCATAGGCTCTGTACTGCTGAGAGCTAAGGGAGATTCTCCTTTAGCTCAAGTGGCAGAAACCTATGCTTCTGGAGGAAGAGAATGTAAATTCAATCTCCAGTGTCACAGTGGAGTTCAGAATGGCTGTAGTGTGCAGCATAAGGACAACTGTGAAGTTCCTTGAACTTTATTGCAACACATTAGTGGGATTGTATAGAAATTTCATGATTTATTGGATTAGGTTTTAATAATTTACCTACTGAGTTACTATTGATGTAAACAGGATTTTAAGTTTTTGAGCCAGAGTATGCCAAGGAAATTTACTCTGCCAGGATACAGCGTACAGATTGCCAAGGCAAAATACTCATCGTATTCCTTATGTGAATATTCTGGATATGATCCTATACTTACAAAAAAGCAAACAAACCACCAACCCAAAACCCCAAACAACACCCTCCCTCCCATTTTTAGGAAGATGTTAAACTACTACAAATTCAGCGTAGATTAACCTAGACTGTAAGCACAATGCCTATGTATTAAATTGCTACGTAAACCTCCAAGAATGCCTAAAGCACTGTATATGAATGCTTAATAATAAGGAATTCTTCACGTCATTTTTAAAGATGCTAGACCTCATGAATGGCTCAATTCTAAAAGCACTACTGCAGGCAAAATCCTGGAACTTCAGTGGAAGTTTTGCCTGCACAAAGCCTGCAGGATCAGCCCCCCCAAAACCCACACAGCCCTCTTCTAAAATTTCTGCCCCCGCTTTATTTTGTTTGCTCCAATCATTATTACACCCTGCCTACCACTTTACTGGGCATATTTCTTTTTATTAAACTGTTGCCTTGTTAGGATGCATTAATGAAAAATATGACATACTTAATACTTCCCACTGAACAGAATTCATAATGGAAGGACAAGGAGCTTAAACTAAGAAAAGAAAAAGTTAGGCTAGATGCCAGGAAAGCTGGTCTGACCAGTAAGAGCAATCAAACAGTGGATTAGACTTCCCAGAAGTGGGTGGCTGAGACATAATTACTGGGGATGTTAAGAACAGTTTTGGAAGGATGCTAGTGGGAATGATGTAGTTAGTTCCGTGAAATGGATGGGAACAGACTAAATGATCCACATGTTTTTTCCTGGAGCTATACAGTTCCACAGATTAGAAAGATGGGTATTTCAGACTCATGAATTGCTCTGTGTGGTCACTGTATACTCACACTCCTTCTTGGTAGTAAAGCTGGTCCATTCGGAAGCACTGCTGCCTACAGAATTGTAAGACACCACTCTCATGTTGTAGACTGTGTAAGGCTGAAGATCACTCACACTGGAATTCTGATCTTTACCTGTATACTTCACTTCAATTGGTCCAGGGTTACAGGTCTTTGCCTGTATTTGTAAATGTGGAGGGCAAGCAGTATACATGTGGAGTTCATAGCTAGAGAAAAAGATTGACATTTTGATGAAAGTCTTATAAGAGGAACAAACAAACGATCGGTGAGCACTGTTTCACTCTGGCTGCTAGATATCTGGTTACTAGTTAATAGGATGGACGTCAGCTTCATCGCTTTTGGGCACTCTAAATCCCATTCAATCTCTAATGGTTTGGTCCTGATTTTAGGGTGATGACCTCTAATCCCATGCCCACAAACAATTATGCTTGTAGTTCGACACCTACAATATTGTGCCTACAACGAAACTGTGGATGTACTCACATCTAACTGCTTGCGCCTACAAATTAAGTAGTTAAATCTAGCTACCTATCTTTAGTATTTATAAGATATCTATATTTGTGATGCCAGTTACTCTCTCAATTTATTGCTGGTGCAAAACAGCAAGTGCAACTATTTGTTGTTGCACAATTGCACTTGCCTTATTAAGATCCTGGTGAAAATCAGGCCGAGACATTAATCCCTGCTATGCCTTAGCAGGGCTGCATTTCAAGTCCATTCTGGGAGAATATAAACGTGCAATGTCATTACTTAAAAACTTTCTGTCACACACATACCATGCAGCTGCCATCTTGGGTTTGGATTCATGGCATGCTGAAGATGAGGGAATATGCTGTCCCTCTCTGAGCGGGAACAGGTGACCGTTTTAGGAGCATGTTGCTAGTTCCAGTAACTGCTTAAAAACTGAACTTCAGTACAGTACACAACATTGTCCTGAAAACTGGACATTTTGTGGAAGGACTCAACAGGACAGCCCATAGGTGAATCCATACCTAGGCACAGGTAGGGTGACCAGATGTCCCAATTTTTGGGTCTTTTTCTTATATAGGCTCCTATTACCCCCCGTCCCGATTTTTCACACTTGCTGTCTGGTCACCCTAGGCACAGGGGATTTGAGGAAGTGGGTGTTGGTGCAAGAGCCACATGAACAGCTTTACATTTAATTTTGGTCTAAGTAGGTTTCCCGCTGGCAGAATGGCAGCAGTTTTTTGCTTCTCGTTAATTCATATTTCATTGATGGTTAAAGATGATTTTTCACTGGTTCTGTTGGTTAAGCTTGCTGCAGGGCACTTGGGGAGTGGGGCAATACAGGATATTGTACATGAACCTGCCATTTCTATCCAAAATACACAATAGAATCATCCGGTTTCTGGTGTGAGTACACTCATGATGCTGTAAAATACAGATTAATTTAGAATAGTACAATTCACTTAGTCTGAGGCTACCAATGAAAACCACTCAGAAGCATCAAGTGCTGCTGCCTGCTTAGGGCTTGATCCTCTACTCGGTGAACTCAGTGGAAAAACTCCTAATGACTCAAATGGGATAGGAACGGGCCCTTATTGAGTGGGCTTGCTGCATGGAAAAATGTACACTCGCTATCCATAGACTGCACTGGCAACTGATTGGCTTCAAGGTGCAAATGAAGGTGTTGACTTTGATTTATAAAACATTCTGTGCTTTGGTCCTGTCTAGTCCAGAGAGCACTGCTTTTTCTCCTCCCCTCCACCCTGCCTCACAACAGTTGATTTCTATGGCTTTTGCTAAAAGTCTCTCTATGCGAGTGGCAGAGATAGGAAGTTTTCCATTGAGGACCCTAACTCCGGAATTCACTTCCCTTATTGCTCCAGCAAAATCCAAGTTTATTAACATTTAGGACACACTGCAAGGTTCCTCTACCTGTACAATGTTTTGCTTGAGAGAAGATGCCCAAGGAGGGCAAGCACCCGTTGGGAGGATTTCTTCTGCGTGGAATGTACACCAATTTGGAGATCATCATCATAATTTACAAATATATAAAAGAATACTAAAAACAGGGCATGAGATTATCTAAAATGACTAGAGGACTTAGCCACACAACTCCCAATGATCTAAATGGAAATTGTGTGTCTAAATCTCTTAGCTGGCTTTGAAAATCTAAATCAGATTGTGAATCTTACCTTTCCACAATGCCATTCGGTGACCGAGGTTCATTCCACTGGAAAAAAGCTGTTCTTGAGGTTATGGTATGTATATGTGGAGGGGGCTGTTGAGAGGGTGGTGCTGGTTGAGTGGTTAGTTGGGCGACTGGTCCTTTGGTGCAACAGTTGAAACATGTGCAGGCCTCTACGCCAACAGAGTAGGTGGTGAAAGGTTTAAGTCCATGTATTGTTTGCTGGGTGGCAGTCCCTTCAGACAACTGTAAAAGGCAAGAGAGAACTTTACACAGCACAGGACACTGTAAATGCTAAGTCGGATTCGTTAAATGTTCTAAGTGGTAGGATCGTTGACTTCGTGTGTCCAGGGAATCTAGATTTGACCTTATCTTTCATTATCTAGTCAGACAGGGTGAAATTCAACCCAGTGCAGTGGGTCTTTACAAGGCCTTCCCCATTGTTTAAGTCCTGTGATGGACTGCACTCGTGAAGCAGCTATGCACAAACGCCTCTACATCCCTACGTGCAGCGTAATAAGGATCACACTGCTGGCCCTGAAAAGTTGGTGGGCATTGTCAAAGGATGACAGGCAGATGACAGAACGAGGAGCAATGGTCTCAAGTTGCAGTGAGGGAGGTCTAGGTTGGATATTAGGAAACACTATTTCACTAGGAGGGTGGTGAAGCACTGGAATGGGTTACCTAGGGAGGTGGTGGAATCTCTATCCTTAGAGGTTTTTAAGGCCCGGCTTGACAAAGCCCTGGCTGGGATGATTTAGTTGGGGTTGGTCCGGCTTTGAGCAGGGGGCTGGAATAGATGACCTCCTGAGGTCTCTTCCAATTCTAATCTTCTGTGATTCTATGAATGTCCAGGAGATCTTTGCATACACAGAGTCAGTGACCCTAATATCCTGCACAAGTGGCACAGAAGGGACATGTCCTCTATTTCAGCCCACAGGAAACCCTCTCAGCAAAACTGAATCCATCAACCTTTAAAGAGAAACGGAATTAAATAGCACAAAGGAATGTGTGTGGATAGGAACTGTGTGGAAAGTAATGGCAGCAAATCACGAAGGAAAAAGCAAACCATGCTGCTTCCTGGAGCTGCTATTTCTCCAATTCGCTGCGGTCATTTGTGGGTCTGGTTTCCAGCTCCAAAGAAATCAAACAGCATGTAGAAAAAAGCCATTTCAAACACAGTAACCACCTGCTGGGTGATGAAGCAAGGCAAATGGCACAGGCCACAGAGTCCCAGGGTGGACAGCAAGGAAACAGAGCATCAAGACGAGACTGAAAGCACACAGAGTCAGAGTTTGCTAATGCCTTCAACTCAGTGATGGAGAAGCAAGGCACCCCTGCAGGCACAGCAGCCACACGGCAGGTCTGAGGGGATGAGAAGAGAAAGACAAGAACATGCAGGCTGAAGTAGATATGGACCCAGCTGATCATCGTAAGAGGGATAAGGACAGGCCATGCAATCAGCAAACAGCAGATGGCTCACGCTCACAGACAGGAATGATGAGCAAGGAAGACGGTGTTCCCAGCCACTTCTGTGCCAGATTAGACTGGGGTAGTTGGCGAATGGGCACATACTACTATAAAAGGTGAACAGAGTTAAGCCTTGACAGATGGTGACATAGACACAAAGGCATGAAGGAAGTTGAGCACAAGAAATGGGGTGTGTGAAGCATGGAGGTTCCCATTTGCCACTGAATTGCACAGCACTTGAGAGCTGATAATATCAGCCTTACTTTACTCAGACTTGTGTGGCATTTTGTCTTGGTTTGTGCAGTATGGCTCCGGGTACTCTTCACAACCTTCTACCCTGGCCCAAGGTCTGTGGTCACTCCTCTTTTTTGTTTTCAGGTCCAGCTAAACAATGCAGATTTCCTGACTTAGCGAAGTTACCTGGTTGTCTGGCTATTGGTTGGATGTTGGTTGTAACAGGCCTCAGAGAAGAAACAGAGATGCTCCACAAACTCACTGAAACCTGCAGTGATCCCCTCGTCTGATGAGTCTCTCTTTGTGTATGGGGGAATGGGCATTAGATTGCAAAGTGAAAATCTACTCTTCCCCTTAGTCCAAGGGCCTTTGCATGCTAAGGAACAAGAAGACCCCATGGAGCACAGCTCTGAAGCACACAGGAGAGGGAAGAGGTCCAGAACCCTCCATGGGCTCCTCTGGTCCTGTCCACCACCCAGCTTGAGCCTCAGAACCACCCAGAGCCCACCATGTTTGGGCCTTCCATGGCCAGAGGGTGGGGCTGGATCTGCCATTTACATTGTCCTTTTCAATTATTTCCATGCCACACTTGGCTCCTTACATCTCCTTTAGAGCCAGGCCCCCCTGTTTAGCAGATTGCCTGTCTGGTCCCACATACACGGACTCCAAACTCTCTAGCTGTTGCCTAAACAGTTGACTTACTGAGATTAAACTTCAGACCCAACCTGGGTATAGCAAAGAACTGAGACACTATGGATGGTGTTACCAGCTCAGACCAAAAGAAAGAAACGACTCATGTCAGATGGTCATTGGATGTTTTCAGCTCCTCAAGGCCCTAGGCCTTCTAGTGCTTTTTATACTTTTTAAGCAAAGGAACATGGAATTTTTAAAACCTAAAAGCTATTACTTTAAACAACATCATTACACTCCCAAAACTGCTTAAATAAGAACAATGATGACAATTAACCACTGGGTGCATGATTTCCCCCCGCAATGATATTTCTATTTTCTATGTGGAATCTAACAGACCACAAAAGACACTACACAGCACTTAATCTTTGTGGGGGGGCTATGCAGAGGGGAAGTTACCGTAGGGCTGAAAGGAGCAGATGAAGAAGAGAATCCTTAGACACCCTATATGCTGTACCTTTTCCAGAAGCCCCTGGAACTGGGATGGGGATGGTCACGGAAGGGGCTCCTATTGCATGCTAGAGACATGACATATGCACACCTTTGTCACATGTTAATTGTGAGACACACTGAAAGCCTCTTGCTGTCTTTCTACCAGTTCTTGTAACATTCTGTTGTAGGACTTACTGAGCTACTGGGGGATTGAAACATTCTTAAATGCTATAAAATAACAATGTAGAGTTTATCAGTGCTTTCAGATGCATTTACAGTGGTCGTTATTATAAACTTTTCAGTTTTGCATTGGATAACCAGATAACATTACCGCACTGTTTGCAATATTCCTTGGTGTTTCCAGTATTTTGTATGCTACTACACAATATTATCCCTGTGCCAACTGGAAAGCGTTTCAGGGCAACCACCCTGGCCTTAAAATCCATAAATCAAAACACAGTAATGTCCAAAGGGAGCAGCTGTTTGGTCACCAGCTGTAATTTCTGTCTGATCTTTTTGGGCAAACAGATTTTTGGAAAGTTTGTATTTCAATGTAATCAATAGCATCCTAGGAACATTGCATTGGATCCCCCTGCATTTTCTCACTATATAACACAATGATAAAGGCTCTGGCGTCAAGGTTAATTCTTTTAGAAGCACAACATTTAGCTAAGTGGAGACGTCAGTCCTTCTTCGGCCAGAAGAGAGCACTGCTAAGTAGAAAAAAAAAAAAAAAAAAAAGAAGCTAACAGACTTAAAATCCTAAAAAAATGTCCAGAGTTCAACTGGAAATACAAATAGAATAGCTTGATAAACACTCACCACCACATCGGTCCCTCTGGTGCTATTCGAGAACAGCCTGTAGAGACTAACTATCCCGTTTGGCTTAAGAGGGGGGCTGATGTTTACCACAGCTAATGTGGAAGCCACAGTGTAGAACATGGGTGCGTGGAGGCCTTCAGGAGGGGCCGGGCCTGTTCTACAGCGTGCCCAGCTGCTAGGAGTCCGGCCCGCGGAGTTTACTGACCAGACCTTGAAAACACAAAACAAAGAGGAATTTGTGAAGGGTTTGAGCCTGCAAGATGCTGAGCACTCCTGGGAGGTGCTGAGTTGCTGGGGCTAATACAGCTTTACTGGTGGCAAGATGAAACTGCACTGTAACTTAAGACAATGTTGTGACATTTCTCTAGTCCGTCCATCTGGTTCAAATCAATTCTTTTTAAAGAGGGGAATAAAACATTTTTAAGAACAGAAGAATGGCCACACTGGGTCAGACCAAAGGTCCATCTAGCCTAATATCCTGTCTTCCGACAGTGGCCAATGCCAGGTGCCCCAGAGGGAATGAACAGAACAAGTAATCACCAAGTCATCCATCCCTTGTCACCCATTCCCAGCTTTTCACCATTATGATTAAGGGGGGCAAGTATATTTTCATGAGGTTCCTGCAAGGCTGATTTAAGAACAGACACTTTTGTTTGCCATGTAATACTGTACACAGAGGAGGCTCTAGAAAACTTATCTATCTTACCTAAGATAAGGTAAGAAAGGGCAGCATTCCCTTCACTATTGCAAATTCCAAGGGCAAACTGCAAATACTGACCTAGCCCCAATCCTGCTATTGTATCCCTGCGGGTTATGCCTTTTTGCCTGTGACTAGGTCCAATTAAGTCAATGTGGCTCTGCATGGGATTTAAGTTCCCCTTGCACTGATCCAACTACTGGAGAAGACCTTAGTGACTGAAGGCAATTGACAAGTTTTTAAGGGACCCCACTCTATTAAATATATTAATATAATTAATCATTTGGCAAAACTGTCAGTAATCCAAAAAATAATATAAAGAAAACACATTGAAAAGCATGGGTAAGTCAGCACCTCTAAATTTATTCATTTATTTTTGCAATAACATTTGCTTTATTATACTAGCACAAAGAGAGTGGTTTCAGTTCCAAGGTTTCAAAATACAGCAGCTTGAATTAGGCCTGATTAAAAACTGCACGTCTCTATGAACTATGCCTACTGATTTTGTCAGCTTCCCAAAACCAGAGTGATCTGCAGACTACATAAAACTCAGCACTTATTAAACACAGTCTCCAACAAATCTGCATGAAAATTAAATTTTGCTTTCATCAAGGAGTGCATAAACATATGGAAGGATGTATAATCTTATTTATCAAAAACCATTTGTATAATTAAACACGAATATCATAAAAGGTTGCCTTAGGTCATCATTTGCATGAGTAAGTAATTTGTAGAATGTCAGGTACAATAGACAGAATAGATGGATGTGTGAGTGTATAGGGTTAAATTAGGCTCAATAATAGCCAACCACATAGTGATCAATCAGAATGATAGATCTAAATGGCAATACAAGAGGACTGTCTGAGTGATTTTTAGTATAAGTATTCCTTAGTAAGCTTTCATGTTGAGCAGTTCTAACTACAGTAAAACACGTTCTCACGTAATCTCTGGACAGGTTTTTTTTTTTTTAAAGTTCTCATCTTGCTTTTTTAAAAACAGACCCTGGAGAACTTTTAGTTTTCTGAATTTACAACACCCCTACGTTCAGGGAGCTTACATTTTAAAAGGGGTCAGGTGCAGGAGAGAACCAAAAACATACAAGGGCCTTAAGTGTTGTGATTCAAAAACTGTAGATGTCAACTAAAGTTAAAGAATCAAAGTTACTTTCTCATACTCTTGCTAGCACATAACACTCCTAAAGCAAACTCGACTACAAATCCTATACCAAAAAGTTTGCACAGCATATTTTTCTTTCAGTGATCTCTGCAGAGAAGTTTTCATAAAGTCAAACTCTTTTCAGTCTACTCCAATAGGTCAAACACTAGCTCGGTTAAGTCCTTGCTGCTACAAAGATTTGACAATAGTTGCTCATTTTAAGGAGTATTTTTCTTCATGGATGGCAAGTTCTTAGGCAGGGTGAAGTTCCAAGAGATCCACCTGTATTGACTCAATACCAACCTTGGGGTGAAATGCTCCAGAGTTTTATTCTGAACTATGGGAACATGCCTGTGAGGCCTTAATGAGCAAATCATTTAACTTCTCTTGGCCTCAATTTAGCCATCTATAAAAGGGTAAATGGACATAAAAATACATTCCTTAAGGGAGTGTTGTGATAATTAGTGATAGCAAGCACTTTGAGATTCTGAGATATAAGTATTAATTACAGACATAAATGCTAATATTTAGACACCTGCCTGAGTGTATATGCAAATCAGAAAGTTATACATCCAACTGCTAGCATTTGCACCTGCAGTCAATTGCACCCATTAAAAATTGAAGGCTGTGTCATGATCCCTTCAAAAATGCATCACACGGCATTCATGAACCATTACAGCTTGTTGCACTGATTAATATAATGCTATGTGGTATGCTTTTGTACACAAACAAAGTAGAAGAAAGTCTTTTGAAGTTGCACTGCATCATTCTGAGGTGTGATGCAGTTAAAATAAGGGGCATGCAATAATATTCATAAAAGACTCTGCAGACAGAAGCATCACCTGCTATATATATTGTATAAAGCCATAAAAAATAAGCTAGCCAAGAGCAGAACAAGGGTAAGAGTGTGGGGGAAGTGATCATGACACTAGACTACCAATGTAAGTGGAGACTTCGGGGACTATGTATGTGTATGGAGAGAAGGAAACCATCAAAATAAGGTACTTGTTACTTTAACTCTTTTAATATATTGCTTCAATAATCAGTAAGTCTTACATCATAGTGCGTGGACTCAGAACCCTGCCAAAATCTGTACAGCCATTAGTGGGTGCAATGTCTCAAGAAAGCCACGAAGGGGCTCCAAAAGCATCTACAGCAGGAGTATTTCAGACCTCTTCATCAATTTGCTGGCCATCTGCCCAGACAGCACTTTGAAGTAGGGTCAGAGAGAAAGAAGCTCTCTGGAGGCAATATATTCAGAGAACTAGAGAATTCCAGTCACAGGTAAGCAAATTTGTTTTCTTCTTCATAAATGGGCCTCCATAAACCCCTATTCTTGGAGACTGGTGAGCGGCCATCACCCAGAACGGTCATATGGCAGCTTCCAAGTCTGACAGCACAGCCGAGAACTGGCAAAACCTGGGTTACACGTGACTGTCCTACAGACCTTAATCATAAGGAGTGGCAGAAACATGCTGCAAAAGCTGCCTCAGCTCTAGCACAATAAGCCTGCCTTGGATAAAATCTCACCTGCAATAATGTCCGTGGATTCTCCCCAGCACACCCACTTTCCCAAATTCAAGGTAGGGTGACCAGACAGGGGGTGGGGGGTAATAGGTGCCTATATAAGACAAAGCCCCAAATATCAGGACTGTCCCTATAAAATCAGGACATCTGGTCACCCTAATTCAAGGCCAGTTCCTCAGCAAAACTGAGTACCGACAACTCCCACGGAAGGCAATTAAATCTGTTTGGCTTTCAGACATGGATGAAGATCACAGAATCATAGACAATGGGGATGGAAAAAGCTTGTTAGGTCATTGAGCTCATCTCCCTACCCATGCAGGAATGGTCCCTGCAATACTTTAAAAACTCAGGTCTTTACAAAGGAGCTAAAGTTTTGAGCAAGAAAATGGATTTCTTTGCAGCAACATAAAATAATATGTAAAGTTATTCAATCTGTACAGGAAATCCTAAAGGGAATTAAAGGGAAGGGCTGGACATAACTATGCCTCAGTGCAGGGAGATTGACTAATGACCTCTTGAGGTCCATTCCAACTCTATGTTTCCATGATTCTATGACATAGGCCAATAGCCGTCATAGCTGAGGTGAACCACCAGAAGAAGGAAAGCACCTCACCAGCGGGCAAGCAAAATGACTTCTCAGCAAATGAATAATGAAAGGGCTACAGAAGCTGCCAAAATAACACTAAAAAAAGAGTGACTCACACCTAACATATCCTAGGGGAGAGGCAGCTCTGAGTTAAGAGAGTGGACCAGGGGTCTCAAATACGCAGCCCGCGGGGTTATTTCTTGCGGCCCGCCAAGCTCCCCACGCCCCCCTCCGTCCGCCCTGGAGTTATTTCCTGCAGCCGCCAAGCTCCCCTCCCCCCCACTCCCTCTCCCCTGAGTGCACCGCGTCCTTGCTCCTCTGCCTACCTCCAGGCGCTTCCCGCCGCCAAACAGCTGTTTGGTGGTGCTTAGCGCTTTCCAGGAGGGAGGAGGAAGGAGCGGGGAGCCACACGCTCGGGGGAGGAGGCGGAGAAGAGGCGGGGGAGGAGCGGGGATTTGGGGAAGGGGTTGGAATAGGGGCGGAGAGGGGGCAGAGTTGGGGTGGGGACTTTAGGAAAGGGGTTGGAATGGGGGCAGGGAAGGGGTGGGAAGAGGTGGGGCAGGGGCGGAGCCTCATGGAAGGGGTGGAGTGGGGGTGGGGGCTTTTGTACCTTTATATGAAAAGGTGTCAGTGATGCAACCCTCGGGCCAATGTACTAGTCCTCATGTGGCCCTCGTGGTGATTCGAGTTTGAGATCCCTGGAGTAGACACAGAATCAGAAAAAAGAAACCAGCGCTCTTGACCGCCTGACACTGACCATCTGAAGAAGTGCAGTCCCGGTTAATTTAGTAGCAGTATTGTGAAAAGAGTTATTATGTTCTTCACACACTATATGCCTCCCAAACGATGGTAGATACGTATATTGGACAGATCAGATGGAAGTCCCTTTAAACACTCTGACTCGCAGGAAAGTTCAAAAGAGGGGATTTGCTGTTCATACTGAGGCTAACACAAGTCTGGCAATGGGCTATTAAAGAGGAGACCGCTTCCAGTATTGAAGAGGATTCATCTGATATTGGGGTAGGTGACACAGCATACACTGCCATGAGATTTAGTGTCCTACAGTCATCTATGTGTCTGTGAGAAACAGAAGGCCCGATCAAACCACACCTGTGCATGGATGCACAAGACACAGAAAAGGATGCAAGGAGCCAACCTCTTTACCCCTGCAGATAGGTCAAGCATAATTAGTCTTTGCATACGGTAATAAGCCCAAGGACTCCACACATGTAGCACTGCTGTTGG